GGCTAGGGCAGCATTCTTTTGTCCATCCCTAATTGCCCAGAGGGCAGTTAAGAGTCAACCACATTGCTGTGGGTCTGGAGTCACATAAGCCAGACCACGTAAAGGACGTTAGTGAACCAGATGGGTTTTTCCCAACAATCGACAATGGATTCATGGTCATCACTAGATTCCTAATTCCAGATATTTATTGAATTCAAATTCCACCATCTGCCATGGTGGGTTTCGAACCCAGGTTCCCAGATTATTATCTGGGTCTCTGGATTAACAGTCCAGCGATAATACCATTAGGCCATCGTCTCCCCAAATATATAGTTCAGTGAACATGTTCAAACCAGAAGCTGTTACAGACAATTGGTTATTCCAGTCTTTCCAGCTGAGACTCACACACTCACTCACTCACTCACTCACAGCCATTTAGTAGCAAAAAGTATAGGAGGGATTATGTTTGAGAAACCCACGATTAGTTCAGATTGAGCGTGATGTTTAGCTCTCTCCCACAGCAACAAAGCCACAATGTGATTCTCGAAAACTTTAAGCACAATGTGAACCTTTCTGACAAACACACATTCAGAATAGTCTCCAAATGGGTACTCTTGATCCTGACGGAATTTACCCGAGCAACCCATGGGCCTGTATTGTGTTGCATGTGTTGCATGACTGAAATGTTAGCTCTGATTATGTGGTTCTAAAGATGGTGTAATTATTAGTGTTGGCCATTATCCTGTAAAGCTGACAGCAACATCTGGAGTTTTCACATGTGCAGTTCAACAAAAAAAACTCAGTATGTTGCAAATCCCTGTTCCTCAATTGGCTACGCTGTCAAAGTCCACCTTGTTAGTAATCTTTAGAAATCATGGAACTGATTTTAAAAAATTTATCCTTTTACATCATAATTATCACCACTTAATCCTTCTGTAAACATTACACTCTGTTCCTTAATGGTAACGCAATTGAACATGTTATTATGTCATACCAAATGCTGAATTATTTTATATTTGTGTGGTATCAATCTTTTCTGTTGAGAATCGGAGAATTCATATTTTTTCATCAAACGAAGTTACATTATTTCATTTTCTAATGTTTTGCTCTAGTCTTGGTTTTGCTTTCTGTCAATCTCCATTGCATGTTGGACATACAATAGAGTAATGAAGGTCTACAGTGTAGTAAAAGGAACTTTGGCCCAAGTTTGCACCGGTTAAAAACAATCACTTTGCTATTCTAATCCCATTTTCCACTACTTATCCCAAAGATTTGTACGCCTTGTAAGTATATACTTCTCAAACTTTATGTAATTGAAAACTTGTGGCAAATAAGTTCACATAAAAAAGACTACTGCCTATCTACCCGAGTAAGAGGTGAATTGAGTTCAGTTGTCATTCAATGGGAATTCCTACAGCTTGTTGACATCTGGGCAGCTGAGTCATGGTCTTCATCTCATCCTTGATCACCTATTAGACCCTTTGGGTCTATGTGCCCTGTGTAAATGTGCCACAAAGATGAGGCATTTCCAAAGTTTGATCCTCAGGCTATGTTGAGTTAGCTAACCAAGCAAAAAGATATATGTGTTACAGCACTATTGACCTCAATATCTTTGGTCAAGGAATTGGGTGAAACAAAATCATGATCCTGTGTGTGCACCATTTAACATCAGGTAGAAAGTATGATTGTAAGGCATGGCCAGGATTGAGTTCAGACACAACATTTATACATGCACTTGCAATGCCAAGGTGTACAGGGCCAAGTGCTGGAAAATGGGATGAGAATAGTGGGTGGTTGTTTTTGGCTGCGGCAGTTGTCTTGGGCCAAAAGGCCTTTTTCCGTACTGTAGACCTCTGTGACTCTATTGCTGTGCTCTACATGATTGAATAGCCTGTTAACAACACTGTCAAGGACCAAGGTGAAGAATGGCCACTCCTGGCAAGCTACTATAGCTCTAATTGGCAGCACAGCTGAATTTTCTCAGAAGAGAGAAATACTAGAGGAGTAAAGACATGAAAAACTCAATAAAGATACATATTTTATACAGCAATATTGGCACTATATTCATCACACAGGCATGGTGTCTCACTTCACATGAACAGAAGCAGATCTATCTTTAGTATCTTTAGAAAATATCCTCTCCTTGCCAGGCAGAATAATAAAGCAAAGTGCTGAGATAATTTACAAAGGGTAAGGGCATTAAGGGTTATGAAACCAAAGCAGGTAAATGGAGTTCAGATACTGATCAGCTATGGTTCAATTGATTAGTGAAAGACATTCAAGGGTGACTCCTACTGTTCACCTTAAACTAATTCAAACAAAGCCAACTGAAGACATTTTGCATTATTTAAGAGTAAGTTACACTTTAACCACATTTTTTGTTGCTCTCGTGGTTATTTTTATTTGCTTTAAAAAAAAATTTATAAGAGTAAGTGTCCAAGTCAGAAATCCACTGGCCATATGTCTGCATTAGACAAAGTCCATTTCCTCAATATAACAGTTAATGGTAGGAAACTTTATCATAGTTAAGGAGAAGTTCATTTTGCTTACAGCGGGATTTACATGCTTCTGGTGAAATACTTATTCATTAACATACATCACACGCTGCTTTTCTGGAGAAATCTTGCTAAGTCCATAATGGCTGCCATTTTAGTTTAACAATATCAGCACTAGACTTGAAATTAATTTGTGGTTTCAACTTATTAAAATTGGCTTTATGCATCAATTATGTTGATCTAACAACGATATCTAATTGAGAGAGCAGGGAGGGCTTAGAACTCATTTTAATATTGGGTGGTTCAGTAAATTTTTAAGTTTTTATTTCCATCCTGTGACCTGGATGAATCCAAACAGAAAGTGAGGAGAGATATTGAGTTCCTTTCTGACCTTGTCCTGACTGGGATTTCCTAGTTGTGAGCATTGTGTTTAAATTGGCTAAGGTCCAGGTTGAAACTCCTTGCTTTTATAAGGGAGTCACTTAAGTAATACTAATTTTTTAAAAAAACAATATAACATTTGCAAAGCTCCAAAGTGACATTTCTTAAAAAAACACACTTGAGCTCTGGTGATGAATTCCAGTGATATGGATGACTCAGGCACGTAGCAATCTTTCCATTGTATTAAGGTCTTACCCTTTCTCCCACTATATCAACGTTTGAATCAAAGAGGAACAGTCCTAATGTCCTCTTTTGTATACTTTAATACTGGCATCCTATGGTAAGCCTTCATAACTTGTTTTCAACCTGAGACAAAAATGTGTGGAAAGATTAGGGATAGAGTAGGGGGAAGGTTTGGATAGGATGCTCTTCAGAGGGTCGGTGTGGGCTTGATGGGCTGAATGGCCTGCTTCCACAGTATAAGGATTCTATGATTCTATGATTAGCTATCTGTTGATACCCTAAACAGATAAAAAAAAGTCCAATTCATCAGTTGTCTGCCTTTGAAATCAAGAATCATTGCATAAACCAATGCCAAAGCAACACTGCTTTGGTCACTAGTAGGTGAGCAAGGGCAGCTTGTTACATATCCCTGCAATTTGCTTTAAATATTTTCAAAGGATGGGATTCAGAATTCAGAAATATGAAATCACATGTTCCCTTCACTCCAAAAACAGTAATTTGATGCAAACTGGGGGCAGACTTTTTAAAATAAATCATATGTTTCCTTGTACTAAATCCCTAATAATCACTGAGGGCATGCCTGTACCATAACAAGTATGAGCTGGATCATAGAACAAGGAAGGGACTATTCACACAATAAAATTTCAAAGCAGTCCTGGGATTCACATAGTTCTGAAACAGCTTACACCTTTCTACTGAGTTATTTAAATAAGCATGACTTATTTGAGACACAGATATTACAGCATATGAATATGTTTGAAAACCATGAAAGCCAGTTATCGACAATGAAAACTATAACTCAAGTTTGATGGCTTTCTTGCCAATAACAGAATGTAGGTATGAAAAAAGTGATTTTCTCAATGACGTTCCCATAAAGAACATTTTGGGCCTCACTGTGACAACTGTATAAGACTTCCAACCAAATCAACAAAATATCTTTCTCTTGATTTTATTTGTGGATCCAGGCTTCAATTCGTTAAGGTATGCTTCTAAATGGGTTTTCTTTCATTGGATGCATTATTAGGATTTCTTCTGAAGCTAAAATAAATACCCACTACCTCTGTGCCACATGTAACTGAGATGAGATTCCCAATGCATACCCGTCACATTGCTAAAACTAACTACCTCCATTACTCTCTCATCCAACATAGAAACCCTTATCCAATGCTGATGCAAGACATTTGGCCACACTTTAATCCCATATCCATTACAGTTTTAGACTGAGATTGAGAGACACAATCTAAAGTGAAATTGTTGCAGAAACTTGGCAAATCTGACAGCATCTGTGGAGAGAAAGCAGAGATAAGGTCCTGTGGAAGAGTTAAAATGTTAACTCTATGTTCTCTCCACAGAAACTGCTAGACCTGCTGAGTTTCTCCAGCAATTTCTGTTTTTGTTTCTGAAGTTACCTAGTCCTTATTAGCTACGAGACCCACTCCAGGTACAAATATGTTTTCCAACATTTATGAAATAATCAAAACAAGTACAAAGAAAAGATAGACAATTATAAGGAGTAATTTTCAGTCAATCCACATTAGGATTCAATTTGTGACATTGGCTTAACTGGATGCAGGTCTCTTGTTCTGTTTCATTATGAAGTTCTTCTTCAGTCTTTGATCTTCCTTCTTCTGCGTCAACCTACTAAAATCCAGGCTTTATTAAGCTTTATTACCTCCTCTCCACTTCACTACCTCCTTAAAATGCATCTCTTTGTCTAAACTATGAGTCATTTGCCCTAATGTTGCTTCTTGTAGCTCAGTGACAAATGCTGTTTTATAATGTACCTGTGAAACTTCTCGAGACAAGTAGCTCTATAACTGCAAGTTGTTGATTTTTTTCTTTTCATTTAAGCAACTCGATATTTTCTTGCCATCAAACACTCCGCCTTTCTCTGCCCCACAGGGTTTGATCCACCTGCAAGGGAGTCAAGTGAATGAATTCACAGCCAACCCTGAGGAACCTGGCAAACACCTGTTTGAAATTGTCCCAGGTAAGAAGACAAAGCCTGCTCTAGCTGCCTGTTGGTGCTCTGTTTCATTTGCCCACTCAGGCAAAAGCTTCCACAAATTCATTCATTTGCCATTTATCATGGTGTGTAAATGATATGAGACTAATGTTACATTTCAAACAATTTCAATGACTGAACGACATCTCGAGCATGATGTTGGACATGTGTATCACTGTTTCAGAATATTGTTACCACAGCATGTAAGATACAGATTATTTTTATAATGAAGGGGGTGTAATGTGACAGATAATTTGATTTATTTCCCCAATTGAACAAATACCTGACTAGGGATTGTAGATAAAATACTTAGAAGCTTTCATCTTGCCGTGTTTTATTTGGTCTGACATTCTTATTCCTCTTTTTCTTTAAATGCTCTGTATTCATCCATTCCCAACCCTTCCTTCCCAACTGTTATGGACCAGACTAAGAAGGCAGCCCAGATCCTAACAATTTTTTCTTTATTTTAAAGATAAATGTCAGGCGCTGTGTTCCAGATGCAATTTGGTCAAACTACTTGATGCTAAGCAAAACACAATTTAATCAAACACTGTAGTTTGAAAGAAAGAGGAACTTGGAATAACTCAACTCTATTGGAAAATTTAACAGAATAATAGATACGGTAACTATTACTAATTAACTTTTCCAATGTAGTAACATCTCATGAACACACCCTTGGCAAAAGGCAAATTCAGAAAACAGATTTTATCTCACCTGCAATCCAGCAGCCCAGGAAGAGAAGCTCCCATCTTTTGGTTGTAATCGAGAGAGAGGGGATAAATAGTTTCCATTTCTTCATGACCTTCAGCAGGTGTTGCTGAAAACTAAAAATCCCTGGTTCTGTGGGTCGAAGCTTGACCACACCCATTCAGGCTGCTTCTATTGTTCCAGTTCTTTAAGAAAAAACCCAAGGCTTCAAAAGTTGCTTATCTTCTCATAGACTGCTCAGCACCTGTCCCCCGATTCCTTTCTTTAAAGGAAACCTGGACAAAACACACCTCTTAAACACAGCATCATCGCACAACCAACTCGGCAATGTGAAGAATATGGAGCTATCACTGGAATTCACCAGCTTACTTCCCCAACCTGACTAGCATCCACTTCCCAACCAGACTGTGGACAGGAGGGGTGGGAATGGTTTGTTCTGCCATGAGCTTTGGCAACAATTCCATCTTTATTCCCTCCACGTGTTGCAAACTGTGAGATGTAAGCGATCGAGGTTTAGTTGGATGTAAACTCCAAGCTCTGCACCATTGTTTCTTTTCTCCCAGCATGGCTGCCTTGATTCCGAAGTTATGTACCAAGCTATATCTAAGCTATTAGCCAGTCAACCGAAACTAGTGACGAAGAAAAGGTTCAAAATAAGATTTTGCTCCACAATCATGTGATGTAATTAATGCAGGGTGTAAAAGAAGTTCAGGTGTGCAAGGTGCGTTTGAGAAAACGCTATAGACAGTAGAGTGGCAACTGTAACTGGACTTACAGCCACATTCGGGATAGCCTTTACCTGACATAGATTAGTAGGTGCAGGTCAGGTAGGAGATTAAAATGTTAAAAATGTGAAACAGGATTTCAGCCTGCCTCAGGCAAATACACTTGTGGTAGGTGGAAGAGAAGGGGAGTGTAAGTAAGAGAGGGCAGCCAATCAGCTCCTATCTTTGAAATCCGGCGTCCGGCAGCACAATTTGACCTTCACAGGATTTTAATTCTTCCACCTCATATCTGTGGGTTGCCCAGGCCTCAGGAAACTTGACAGCTAAAAGGAGGTGCTAAGGGCTAGATGCAACTGGTTAGTGTCTTTGCAACATGGCTGGTTGGTCATCGTGTACAGAGGTGTCTCTCCAGGTCCAACAAACCAACTTGTGATGGGACCTTCATGATCCCTCATGGAACGCCCTGCCTCTGCAGCCCCTTCTGTATCATCGACCCCCTGTGATGAGTGGGCTCAGACCTGAGTGACTCCAGTGCAGCCTCACGGTAGCAGCATCAGAGGCAAACTTGGGTTCCTGGCAGCTTCTGCATCATCGACGTGGTCCTAGCTCAGACTCATGGCCGCCACGGTGAGGGCATGATTGGGTCGGTGCAGTACCCGGTGGCGTCTGCATTGGCGAGGTCCAGCAAGGATTCATAACAGCGAGGGCATCGGTTGAGGTGAAATGGCACTGAAGAGTAATAGCGAACATTCCAGTGGTGGCACAGCGCAGGGACTTGTGCCTGGCCCATGGCCCATGTCGGAGCACTTAACAAGAAGGACTGGAAAGTTGATCACTTTTTATTTCTTTATCTTTCTGCCTTTTATATTCTATGTTTTGGTTTATTCTTTCTGTTTTAAGATGGCGCTGAAGAGTGGCGACATTATACAACACTTTCCATTTTGAAACAAAATGCACATGACAATAAATACAACAAAAAAAATTCTGATTTTCCTAGCCGGTCTCCACAACATTACTCCAGGATCTTGGATACTCTGCCTCAGTTACTGTAGCAACCGCCAAACCACACCATTACCTCTCTGCAATCTCTGGCTTGACAAACATGAAACCTACAAGCATCCAGGTCTGTGAAATGGCTAAACCTATCAATCAGGCTGCCTTGTAGGTTGGGAATTTGGTTTTAAAATGTCATGCATTCCATGGGTATTAAGCCAGAGTGTCCTAACTCGAGCTGTCACCCCACAGCTCAAATACTTTGTGCTGTCAAATATTGGGAACGTGCTACTAGAGAAGGTTAAGGGACCTCCATTGTCCTTCACTTAGCGCACAACTACTACCAAGTACGTAGATGAGCACTTGAAATGTCATAGCTTTCAAGGCTATGGACAAATTGCTGGAAAGTGGGATTAGTGTAGATGGGTCAGCACAGACTCAATGGGTCAAAGGGCCTCTTCTCTGCTGTATGACTCTAACTCCAGCTGTGGTTCTACCAATTGTGTCACAGACAGAAAGACATCAGTTTTCAGACTTTGCTCTTACTGGGACGTTAAATCCATGTCGAAAGTCAAGGTTACAGATTCATGAGATGTAGAGCTACCTCAAAATGACTTGACTTTGTATTGAACTCTGTTTGCTTTTCAATGTCAAACATATCATAAATGTAAGAAGCTTTGCTATTTTAGGCTAACTTGAGGACAAACATCTCAAGGATATCTTGGGGTTGTACTGTGGCTCAGTAGTTAGTACTGCTACTTCACGGCACTGGGGATCCAGCTTCGATTCCGGCCTCGGGTAACTGTCTATGTGGAGTTAGTACATTGTCTGTGTGGCTTTCCTTCGGGTGCTCTGATTTCCTGCCATAGTCCAAAGATGTGCAGGCTAGGTGGATTGGCCATGCTAAATTGCCCATAGTGTCCAGGGATGTGCAGGCTAGGTGGATGAGGCATGGGAAATGCAGGGTTACAGGGATAGGGTGGGGTTGGGAGGTCTGTGTGGGATGCTGTTTGAAGGGTTGGTGTGGACTTGATAGGCTGAATGGCCTGTTTCCACACTGAAGGGATACTATGAAGCCAAATAAATGCTTCAAAACTGTAGCAGCAATAGTTATGCTGTCTTCAAATGAAACTAACGAAATGAAGTAAGCCCTGAATCTCTCATTCACCTACTGCCCTCATTCTTTAAGCTCTGCTGGTTCAGGGTAGCTGCTTAAGTCAAAAATCAGGAAATTGTGCCCATCAACCAGCCTTGACTGAACCTCACCCAACCCCATTACCATTTGAGATTGTTTACCCATTTTTTACTTGTGGCATGACAGTGTCAGACTATTCTTGTAGGTAAACCTTCGTCTTGACTTCCTCAAGAGTGTTGATATTTTTATTGCTCTTGACATGAGACTTGTAGCACATCTTAAATAATGAAGAGGTAAGACTTTTGTTAAGACTTCCATAAACTATGATTTCCCTTTCAGATCTTTCTAGAATTTTCTTCATCTTTGAAAGTGGCAATGTAATTCCATAAGACATCAAGATGTGGAAGTGCTGGTGTTGGACTGAAGTGGACAAGGTCAGAAATCACATGACACCAGGTTATAGTCCATATGTATATAGTATGTACATTTATATATGTTTAAACCTGTTGGACTATAACCTGGTGTCGTGTGACGTAAGACATCAGAGCAGAAATAGGCCACTCATCTCTTCTAGTCTGCTCTACCATTCAATGAGATCATGGCTAATCTAATAATATTCAACTCCAAATTTTCCGACTTATCCCCAGAACCTTACTGATTAAAAATCAGTCCATCTGAGTCTTGAATATACTTAATGACCCAGCCTTGACAGTCCTCTATGGTAAAGAATTTCACAGATTCTCTATCTTCTGAGAGAAGAAATTCTTCCTCATCTCTGTCTTAAATGTGCAACCCCTTATCCTAAGATGATTCCCTCAAGTCCTAGGCTCACCCACAAGGGGAAAGAACCCTTCTGCATCTGTCCTGTCAAGGCAAAAACTGGAGGGCATAGCTTTAAGGTGAGAGGGAAAAGATTTAAAAGGGATCTTGGGGGCAACTTTTTCACTGAAGCTGGTGCATGTGTGGTACGAGCTACCAAAAGAAGTGATAGAGGCAGGTACAATTACATTTAAAAGGCATCTGGATGGGTATATGCATCGGAAGGGTTTGAAGGGATGTGGGCCAAATGCTGGCAAATGGGACTAATTCATTTTAAGAATCCTGGTTGGCCTGGATGAGTTTGGCCAAACAGCTTGTCTTCAAGCTATGTGGCTCTATGACTCTAACACTGTTGTCTCTCATTCTTCTAAACTATTGAGTACAGGCAAAAACAATTGACTTGAACAAAGAAAATGCCTCCATACCCGGGATCAACCTACTGAACTTTCTCTGGAATGCCCCTAATGTCAGTATATCGCTTCTCAAATAAGAGGACCAGAACTGTTCACAGTATTCCAGTTGTGGTCTAACTAGTGCCTTTGTATAGTTATAGTGATAAGTCCCTTTTTAACACTCCATTCCCTTTGAAATAAAGGTCAATATAA